AAGGACCGCGGGTCTGCGCTGCATCACCGCCGCGAGCAGCGAGGCACGGGCACAGCGCTCCGGCCTGAGCCGCCTCACCGGGCCGGGGGAGGGTCCCTGCTCAAGCCTGATAGCTATGACCGAGCATGGAAGCAGCTCCGGGCACTCTCCCACCATCCCAGACTTTATTCTTAGAGGCTGCGACCACCACCGCAGGTGGAGCATCCCGGGCGGCCGAGATTCTGCTTTGCACCTCTAACCCGAAAAGCTGCGCTTCTGCTCCATCCGCTGCCCCGTGCTGCGGGGCACAAAGCGCCCGGGCAGCCGCTGTCCCTCGCTGTGGGACTCTGCAGAGAGCTCGGGAAGGGAGCAGAAATGCATCAATTGCCTGGAATGTTTTGCTAGGTCGTTCTCTCCCTGGGTGACCTTGGGTTAGCCACTGAATCTCCAGCTGCTGCAGCTGCTGGGCCAGTACGGCCCTGGTTTGTAAAGCACAGAGATAACCTCCAAGGAGAAGTGCTAGATAAGCATGAGGTAGCTGGCTATTTTTTTTCCCAAGCTCTTCTGAAACAAAGCAGAGCAGAGCCTGAATCTCCTGGAGACCTGAAACCTCTCTGTGCTAGATTTCACGAAATCACAGGCATTTTCCTATTAACTCAAAAAAACCCTGAATGTGGGGCCATACCTTGTGCTGTGAAATGGGAACAGTGGAGGTTTTACTCAGGCAGTAATGTTGCAGTTCATTTCTCACAGCCCTTTTGCCTCCAGAATTGCTCAGCACCTGTGATCTGTAAAATAAAATGCAAGCAGTAAGTAGATGCTTTGGGAGCATTTTCCACCCCATCCCAAGCTGATGAGTGCAGAAAACCCAGGAGTTGTCTGACCCCAGTGTACCCTCCACATTACGGGTCATGGATGAGTGAGAAATGCAACTTCTGAAGCTCAAAGATTCAAGTCCCTGTTTGCAGTCTGATGGCTGCTGAAAGAGAGGAGAAGGAAAGGCACCAACCAACACGAGAACCCTCCAGCTCTGCTGCTCTGCCCAGCACTGCTGGCGAGAGGAGAGCCAGACAGGGCACTGATGCAGAGCAGGGAACATGCTCCATGTCAGAGACAAATAATCAGATCCTGTTCCCAGCTTTGTTCCAGTTCACGACTATGTGTGGTTGTTGCCTTTCCTTTTGTTTTGGTGTCTTGGGATTGTTTTTTTTTGTTTGGGCTTGTTTGGGTTTTTAAATACATGCAGATCCTTTAATGTTGCTGCACTGCTATTTTTTTTTTGAAATTGAATGTATCCTTTCCTGGCCAGTGCTCAGTTCTGTCTGTAAAACCTCATCAGTTTCTATGATGTTCTAGTCTGAAGCTTCCTTTTACTATTAACATTTCTAGGACGCAATCTGGCATGTTATTTACTGCCGTTTGTTGAAACTCATATACACATGCAACAGTTTCTGAACAGGTTTTTAAATGGTAAAAAAAATGGCAAAGGCATTGCTGGGATGAGTGTCCTTGAGAGTCACATAACTACAGCTGACTAGTTAAAATGTGTAAATAAATAAATAACATTAAAATACGGTAAAACAAGGTTTGGTTTGCTTTTTTCCTTCTGATTTCCACAGAGGCCTATATTCTGGAAATAACCAACAATGGTCCCATCACAACAGGAGCTCAAGCTACTCTCCAGGCCAGTCTCAGTACAGAGGATGTCAATGTCACATCAGACTGGTATCACTTCAACTGGATATATGCTCCTCTGATTCTGATAGAGAAATCTGAGCAGCAGTTTAACTCTGTAATTAATGTGACCGGTGAATTTCCTGGGACTTTTCCTGTGTCTGTCTGGGTGACTCACAGAAACTGCTGGTTATGTCGGCCAGTTGCTAGAAACATCACTGTGCTTCAGATTACAGGTAAAGTGGCTTTACAACTTGGATATCCTCAGGAATTCAGTCTACATCAGAGTGCTGGCTGCCTTTGCTAGCATCAGAAAAATGAAAGACAGATGTCAATAAGGCTTCTGACAACAGAGCTCGTGATTTGTGTAGCCCTTTGCCCGAAGGTGGGTTTGGACTACAGTTAGTACAATTAGAGACACACTGTAATCCCTCTACATCCAGGAAGCAAGTGTGATCCTGCCCATTCCTGCCTCTGTCACTTAGAGAAATTGAACTAGAAATCAGATGCTTCAGCAGCTGCAGTTCTCACATCAGCATTGTTCAGTGATGTCCAGACTCCTAAAACAATGCTTCCTGTACTGCTTCCCAGCATTTCTAGTCCTAAAGTTAGGAGGAGCAGCAGCAGTGACAATCTGCTGATTTCCCTTGTTGCATGACACAGCAAATCTTAGGCCATCAGCACAACAGGGTCATTACATTTTCTTTTAAAGCTCTGCCTGAGTGTACTGAAATTGGATGTGAAGTCATGGCTGCATTTCCAAATGTTGCTAAATGCAATTTCAGCTTACTGGGAATATTTATAACCACAAATATGCCACTGAACAAACTAACGAATGTTGTGCTATGGTTAACCTAATCTGGGATACAGGGATTGACATGAAATTATCACCTGACAGCTTTCTACCATCCCTTCTTTCAGAGATGGGTAATCATATTCCTCCAACCCCACGTCCCAGTGCTCCACTTACACATTCCAAAATAGATCCATCTTGCAAAGATAAGGGCAGGCATGAGGACAAAAGAGCTAAGTATAGGGAATAGCTGACATTCTGGGGAATAGCTATGAAATTTTCTTTGGGAAACAGCAAATTGATTGGCTAAGTCTTTATAAAAGTATACATGAGAGCTTTTCTCTCAAGAACTGCTACCTTGCTGAGTATCTACATATTTCTTTCTTACTTTGCACTGTCATATTCTCATGCCACAAGGCTTTGGCTTTGGGATAGAATGTTTCTGTAGCTGTGAAAGGTAAGATCCCATTGTACCTTTCTGCCTTCCCCAAGCAAAAGCACCACCAGTGCTTCTCAGGGGCCTAAAGGTAGTTGCCAATAACTCATAAATTACAACTCCAGTTAGTTTTGCATTATCAGCCCCATCCTGATAGTCACTGTGATTCCTATTTGTTCATCCTCAAGAAAACAGTTAACCAGATTTAATGAATAGTTAGCAGGGTAAGAGTCTGTTACTGGTAATCAATAGCCCATTAATTTTGTAACAAGCTGGTAAGTGTGGCATTATAATATCTCTTAATTCACAGGTTAGAGAGGTTTTTTAGAGCAGCCTCAAACATGGAACCTCTCACAGATACCAAAATTTCACCCTTTCTGTATTCACAGTATATAGTGCATCTGCTATTCATAGTAGTTACAATTTTAATTTATGTAGAAATAGCTAAAACTAAAAAAAGCGCCAAACAAAACCAGCAACATAAAAAAAATCTCACAAAACAAACAAACAAAACCTACCACCCCAAACATGAAGGGTGTGTATACTGGCTTGATTCTGAATCTAAATACTTGATGTGAACCCCAGTTCTTTTGAAATCAATAGGAAAAAGTTTATATTGACCTCAACCACTCCAGGATTATTTCCGTAGTTGTAGCAAAAGTTCTATCATGACCCATTGTATAACCCTAAATAAGTATTTTAATTTCACTGCCTTGTTAACACATGTAACAACACTGAGTACCAGATATAAAATACACTTAACCAGTTGGACCAGGACATAGAAAGACTTATGCAGTACATCTGAAATAAAGTTTTGATACACACACAGAGATGCTATGGAAGTGATATATGCTGTCATTCTTTTCCCACCTTATTATTCTGCAGAATTTATCACAGGGAATCTCACCATTGCCCAGATAGAAGACAGCAGAGGTATCACACGTGGTTCTAGTTCCTCCACGGGCACAGCGACACGGATTTCTTTCTCTCTTCATGACCCCAGTCATTACTTCAAGACAGCATCATTTGTCTACAACTGGGATTTTGGGGATGGGTAGGTGTAGTTAATTTTGTTTGTGGTCACTTTGTTACTTTGTTTGCTATTCATGCTTGAATGAGTATTCAAAATGACTCTGATTCAGATGCTCATCTGGAGAAATAATTTTGGTTAAATCATAGGATAAGGCATACATCTTGGTCAGTTAGTACATCCTTAGCATTGTCAACTTGGTGAATTCTGAAGGCTCTGTTACAGTATTCACTGTGTGCTCACCAAATGGTGATGTTTAAAGACCTGAATTTCTTGTTCAAATGTATGCTTAGGAGAACTACTGTGTGTGCAATGAGCTGAACTGAACAAACTAGAATAAATAGCTTATTGTAAATGGCAATTTCAAAGCATCATTCTGTCTGCAGATCTCCATTAGCAGGTGGGTGTTGCACTTGTGAATACTTTGTGCATTTAAGGAGAATGGAAGCAGTACAGTCTTGTGGTCGGACAGAAAAGAGCTGTTACTGTGACCAACTACCCATAAATGTCCCACAGCTTGGTGAGGAGCTTTGAAAGTGGATAGGTCTTTCAAGTAATATGGAGCTGCACATTACCTGATAACAAATTTGGGGAGAGGGAACAACAGCACTCAGAACCATCGGAAATAACACCATGGGTAAAACCACTTGGCACTAAGGAGGAAAAAAGACATTCAGTTATTTATCTTCTTTGAAGATGAATATATGTCCAATACAAATAAGTGTATGCAAAGAGAAATGTAAGCTTTAGTCTTTGAATACTACTTTTTTCCTTCTTTCTCCTCTCCTACATCTTAGTGCCTCAGTTAGCTTATAGTCCACCTGCCATAATGGTCATTTTCATAACTTACTGACCATTCCAATTCCATTTTGTGAATTTCTTTAGTATTACCTTTAGCATCTTTGATTTAAAATGCATAAATTTACTCTGGGTCTCATACTGATTGTAGTGCTATAGGTAAGATATAAATCCTCATTTATATGGACATGAAGTAGAATTAGAATCACAGCAAATGCAGCATTGTCTGTAAAGAAAATATATTAGAGCCTGTCCCTTTTTAAACCAGAAATATGCAAGCACTTGGTAAAAGACAGTTTTGATTCTAAATCTTTTTCTGTTGCACACAGACTTTACCAGATTACCAAGGAACCCTTTGTCTACTATAACTGCTCTTCCATGGGGAACCGCACGGTGCACCTGAAAGTTGTAGCTGAATGGGAGCAAATGGGAAGCATCATACATGAGAGAGAAATGGTGCAGAAAACTGGTGATTTTAGCACTTCTCTGGAGCTCTTAGGTAATTATAAAACATTTTGCATCTTCAATCCAGAACTAATTATATATGTACAAGTACAGTCTAGCTTTAGTGTGATAATACAACTTCAGCATCATTTCACATGCAGGAACTGGTCAACATCATTCAATGAAATGTTTCCATTGCATAATGGACTCTGTGCTGTTCTAGTGCAGAAAAGTGGGGGGAAATATATAAAATCTTCTGTTTCTCTTTCATTTACAAAATATTTTACTGTCTTTTGTAAAAGTCTCACATACACTTAAAGGAATGAATTGCTTAATTTATGGAGGATTTGTTTGTTCAATTTATGCAACTATCCCTAAAAAATAAATCAGTTAAAACAAGCAGTAGAAAAGTCCCATTGATTTGGTCACCTTCAGGAGTAAATAAACAAATGTAAAGGATCAATAAAGTAGCTGATTGTATATTCAAAAGAAATCATAAGAAAACTCACAACATATCTACTGGTAGGTTTCCTTTTGGGTATGAGACAAGTAGTACTGTTTGTGTGACTAATGGAGCTCAAAATGAAGATCAGCCTGGGAAATCAGTGAGCTTCAAGTTTACACATGGAGGGTGACATGCTGGTTTTTTTCTCTCTTCTCAGATGCTGTTAAAAGTGTGAATGTAGTGGGCTCCAGAGAGACTCACGTCATGGAAAACTTGAATTTATCTCTTCACATCAATGGCACGTGAGTGGCAAACACAATTCTTTTTCCAAATAGAATTATCTGTTGAAGTGTTTTCCCCTGGGGTTTCCTTAGAATAGTCCATTGCACCCCACAGAACTGCTTCCTAAAACAAACAAAAAAGAAATTTCCTGTAACAAAATACTGTTGAATACTGCATTTTCCTGGCTTGAAATGCCATGAACTCCAAGAGCCTGGAAGAGTCCGAATCTTTAAGCAAAAGAAGAATCCTCCTATGTAAAGCAAATGTTATTTTTTTATCTTTGTAAAGAGAGTGTTAAAAGACAACTAGCCAGAGAAAGATAGTGGGTAAACTACATCTGGAAACTTCCTTTTGAATTTTTCTCTACCAATTTCACCACTATTGGATGAAAATATATTCAGAGTCCTGTTGCATAGCAGTAATGCTTCACTGGCATATGAGAGTTATAGGTTTGTGGAATAATTTTGGCAAAGTTAAGATTGCCACAAGGTGTATAGGACAGAGAGGCTCCATGCAGTGAGGATTATAGGAAAATAGGAGAGTCATGAGCACCTCAATCCTAGCACAAGCTCTCTCAAGTTGCAGTATTCAGACCACATTAGAGTTTTGGAGTAATCAGCACCCAACAGAGTCATTTGCCAAAGGCATAAATAATCCCAATAGGCAAAGTAGCAGAGTTTGCATTCAAAAAGTGAATGTCAAATGGCAGGAGTGAAGACTGGAGATGGCACACCAGTAAATATGAACAGCCAAAAAAAACATTACAGGCAAACCTGAGACCACTAAAAGCAGCCTTGGTAATCTAGTCACAGGACCAGGACTGACGCAATAGGAGTTTAAGATAGAGAAGCAATGACAAAGGCTTGAGAGATGGGTTATCCAAAACAAAGCTAGAAAATGAGCTAAACACACAAACATGCTGCTATCTTTAGCAGAGAATGTCGTAAAGAGATAAGAAACAAAAGACTAATAAAATCTGGTAAAGAAAAGCTCTGTCTGTTGTCAGAATCAAAGTCCATAGTGCATAAGGTGAGTTCATGCAGAATCAATTGGAACAGGGGTCTGGAAATGTAAATAAAAGGCATCAGCTAGACATGGTGAGAAGCCACGTGGCTTTAAAGTAGGTTGCACTAGGTTGCATGATAACAAATAAAAACCTTTTTGATATTGGTAGGGAATGCTGTCATCCTTGTAATTTACTTACCTTTTCCAGCTATTAGACCATTGTACAGAGCTTGTCTCCCATTCTTTCCAGTTTCAGTTGTGGGTTTTTTTAATCAGAAAAGTCTTGAGTGTGTTTCAGTAGCCCAAACAGCGATTTCTGTGTGAGGGACAAATTAAAAACAACCTATACTCCCTTGAAGTGCAAGAAAAAAGGATTCCTTTTATCTTTATTGAAGAAGAGTTCTCTACACCCACTGGCCTGGCAATGACCCATGCAGGTATTCAGCTCTCAGCTGAAAGACTTGTCTTTATAGAAGCCTCACAAAGATCTTTTTCATTTGGGAAATGCTATAAACCAAACAACCGTGCAGTTAATTACTTTTCTATTTGTATTTAAATTAACTTCACCATTTTCCAAATTATGATGCTATTTTAACCAGCTTTTAGCTGAAATTTTTTGCAAAGTTTTCACCTTTCTTCATTTTGTCTTCTTGCTCTTCTTTCAGCCCCCCCCTGGCCTTGTGCTGGCTTATAAAATCTGAGTGCATCCCACTTGAAGGTGACAAATGCCATCTGGTGGAGATCAGTGGCTCCTGCTACAATCTCAGCCATACCTTCAGGGATGCAGGGCAGTATTGCCTCAGCGTCAGAGTGGAGAACGGGGTGACGATGCTGCAGACGTACCACGGGATAAAAGTGTGGCCAACAGGTGAGGAGCACCACGAACATCCCAACCGGTCAGGGAACTAACAGTCTCAAACAGGTTAGGGACAATTATGGATTAACCAGCCTGCATATGAGGTTTCTGGAAACTGGTGTAGACTCCTAAAAGGATAGGAATAAGAGGAGAAAGGAGAGCTTATAATGTGCTGACTGTAATTACTCTGAGTGTCTTGTATTCTGCTGAGCCCTTAGTCCCAAGAGTGTCTTGAAGCTGGTGAGATTCCTGGGAAGACTATATTACTTAAATTACATATTTTTCAGTTTAAATAGTCCAGCTTCTATAGTTAGAGAGGATAACTAGGAAAACACATGTCTGTAACACTCCCTTAATTAAGCAGTCTCAACTTTCCTTTTTATTTAGTTTAGTTATGGTTGTTTTGAGGGTAGATTTTTCTAGGCCTCCATTTCATTTCTGTCCCTCCAGCCACAAATCCCTGCTGGCTCTTCCATGCATGGTCACACATGCCCCTCTTGGGTCCCTAAATCATCTGGGAAAGTGGTTTGATGGTCAAGTGAAGAGGACAGAGGACAGCCAGGCTGTGACACAGAATGGTTACACCATCTCACCATGGGCCAGCACTTGTGTACAGGCAGGGCAGCTCACTCCAGAAGGCACTGGTGTGCATTCAGGGCTAAGTGTGCAAATATTCTGTGTTGGAGGCTGCTAGCTGCTGTGAAGGTGAGGTTCCTTCCCATCATCTTGGGGTACCACAGAGGTATGGACACTTTGGGGAGTTAGGGCTAACTTATGGAACTGAGTGGGTTTTTTAGGCTGTTCAAGGGAAAAGAGGGCTAAAAATGGAAAGACCCTTACAACCCCCATTCCCACTTCTGAGATTGCAGAAAGACTTGAAGTGATCCAGGTTGAAAAATTAGCTCCCTCTTACACACGTCCTTTGTTCTGAAAGTACAAGAACTTCTCCAAAACCTTCTGCATTGTTTCCTTCTCACTGTTGCCTCTTCTCAGTGTATTGTATCACTCCAGGAATGCATCCCTGTGCTCTTTCCTAGGGATCCAACCAGCTTTCTTTGTCCTGCTCTGCATCGCTCTGGTTTCAGCGATGGTAGGACTGGTGCTGTACACGACCTTTCGAAGCAACACACAACAAAAAGATCTCGTGGAGGTATTCAGTTACGCTTACTTTGAGATGGGATAATGATTAGATGTCTTTCAGCCATGAAAGCTATCTAATATGAAAGGTTCTTTAATCCCCAAGCAAAGAGAGCAGGAGGGAGCATTCCCCTGGTATGCCTGATCTGTTCAATGGGAAAATCTAAACAGTGTAGGGCAAACACTTTAAGCAACAGACATGCTTAACTTTTATTCAAGTTGGCAGGGCTATCATGGGCAGTTTGTTAATATTCCCAAGCAGGTGCTTGCATTGAAGTATCCCTTCCAGAGAATCTACCTCAGAGCAGTTAGATGAAAGAAAGCATGGATATAGTGAGAGAGGATACAGGAGAATAAAACAGGAGGGGTATGTTACCTACAGCAGCACTAAATTCTTACCTACCCCTAGAATGTGACCTTTATCTCCCCAGCTCCCTTCATCTCTGATGTACCTTTCACTTGCTACATAAGGTATTTGTAATAAGCATGAGTTCCTAAATCAAAGTAGCTTTCATGGTCCTTTGGAAGGTACCTAATACCCTTTACATTGTGCCACCATACGAATACTACACCTCTAGAGAGACTGTCTAGGAGCCATGTGCACAGCAGATATAAATCAGAAATCTATTTGGAGCTGGTGACTGACTGAAACTGGTTGAGGACCAAGTGCCATTTCTGGCCCAAGGTATGGACTCACTTGAACCATTAGGAACTGAACTAAAAATGATCTCTTTGATGTTCTTTTTTCAGGTAGCTGACTTTGACTTTTCTCCACTGTCTGATGAACACCTGCCTAATCACTCAGAGTCAGGTTGTGGCCGAGTATGTTGCAGATCATGTTTTCTTCAGTCATCAAAAGAAGGTGCCAGGGAGGATCACGAACTCCTACATTCTTTTTACAAGCCAGTCAAGACGTACACGCTGTGAAGAACACAACTGCACTTTGGCTGCACTGACTGCCTAACTTTCTCACTGAGGATGAGTTAAAAGCCCAGTGCTGCACAAATGGTTTGGGTTTGCCAATGCAATAAGGTTCACCACTTTAAGTCCAGCACTTGAGCATTTCATTCTCTGAACTAAGAAAGAACAAGCCCTGAAACACAGTGAAAGTAGCTTTGTATTTTTAACTTATACGGGTGTGTACATTTACAGCTGTAAATGCAGCGTTTTATTCTTATGAAAGATTGTTTTATGTGCAGGTTTGCTAAACTCACTACCTCTTGTAATTTCTCTGTTCCTTCTGCTGTCTGTTTCAAAGAAGAAGATGCTTAAGACAAACATACCTCTCCTGTGTTGCAACAATATTACTGGAAATGGAAGTCACCCAAAATGCTGTTGAATGCGTATTTCTTTTCTATAAAGGAACTGATGTGTCCAGGTTGAAAATGGCCTAGTTGCTTCCGATGAACCAGACTGACTCATTATGTTGTCCTTTCTCCTCCTGTCTTAAAAGATACTTTTTTAAAGTTAATGGGCTTCTACTGGACTGTAGTAGCTAGTGACCTGCTCATGGAGAGCTACCTGCTAGCAGTGTTTTGGTGTTGTAGAAGCCTCCACATGTCCACCACGTTGTGAAGCAGTACACCATTCTAATCTGTACAAGTAGCCTCTTTTTTTACAGGCTGCTCACTCTTCTTTTCATCCTCATATTGCTCCCCAGCTAGTCATCCAAGCTCCATTTCCAAAAAATGCAGCAACCAGTAGCTCAAAGCTGCTCAGAAATCATACTCAATTTGAATTCATAATCCACGTTCAAGGCTGTATAAAATCCATGCCTGTTGCAGAGTATCCTCTACAATTGGCCTCCTGCTCAGCCAGGCTTTGTCCCCTGCTACAAGGCATTTCAGAGTACCCTGGAGGCTTTTAAACAAAAGTGCCTTTGTGGCCATTTCTTTTTTTAAACACGACACACCTTCCCCAACCTCTGATTCAAAGCCTATGGGTATTGTGAGCCTGGGCTTTTTTTGTAATTTTCAGATTGGAAGATAATAGTCTGAATGTGATGAGATTTACCATGCGGTTTTTGGGGTGCTTATCTCAGACATTCAACTTCTATACTTCCTCAGAGAAGCCCAGAGCTTCAGTTCCTCTGTGAACAAAACTATGTGACCTGAGAAGGGCTCTGTTAATTAACTTGATACATTTAAAATAGAATAGGATCATCTATGATAACAAATGATACAGTAAAAGTAAGTTTTTATCAAAAAGTACGTTGCAAGGCAGATCTTCTCTTGGCTCTTCTAAAGAAAAAAAACCTATTTCTAAGCAAGCTTGTTGATTAGGAGTGGTGTCCTTTGTATTCCTTCTCAGTGCTCTGGTATCAAACTCTTATCTTCAGTCATATCCAGTTAATGTTAAAAATGTGCCTTTCTTTAGCAAAGAAGCTACTGTGCTTGAAAGCTTCAGATTTATTGTTTACTCCTGAGATCCCAGCTCTCTGAGCCACTGCCAAAGGTGTGTGCCTTGTTGTGGGATGTCAGTGTGGTTTGTAAATTACTACATGGTCCTTGGGCACTGGAAAGAAGAGATTTCTGATATGCAAAATGCAGTTCAGAGTGACAGAGCCCTAGACAGATTGCAGAGTGGCTTTCTGCAGCCAGACGTTTACTTTGGGCTTCTTTTAATTACATTTGTGCCTGACATGTGGCCCTTGCTGTTACAATACACTTAAAGACAAACCCTTAACATGCTAAGGAATGTGTAAAAAGCTCTCTCTTCTCTATAGTGCACTCCTAGCAAATCCAATATCTGTGAGAACAGAAACAGGGATCATTTGGGTTTGAGGGAGATTATATCAAAGGAGTAAGACCTATGTTCTGTGCTGGTTTCTATTAATACCCAGGTGATACAAAGGATATTGTGGGGTATTAGGCCACAAACATTGCTGCTTTGGGTTTTTGCCTTTGTGCTCTCCTCAGTATGTCTGAGCTGAGCTAGAACTGATCCTGCCAAACCTGGTAAAGTGGCAAAGGATTCAAATGACTTAGAAGGGTAGAAAAGATAAAGTGTTGCAAAGTGGCAAGTCAGCACTACCAAATAGTGGAAGATAGTACTCAAGAGTAGATGGAAAAGAATAGAGGTTAGAAAGAAAGACATCTCTGGCAAAAAATAAGCTGTGGAAAAAGTACATTTAGAAGGGCATGTCAAGAAGCAAATTAACCAAGAAAATTTAAACAACCTTAGCAAATTGAGGTATGAGAAATATTCACACGAACACGTTCTTGAATCCAATATGAAACTGCTTCGTGCACAAAAGACTGATCCGTGTTTTGATAAATGCATCTGAAACTGAAGACAAAAGGTAATTGAGCAGTTCAGGATACACCAAGGAGATTAGTGGGACGTAGCATGGATCAGCAGGAGGATTCATTTTGTTAACCTCAGAAATCAATGACCTGAAAAAAGGAATGTTCAGCAAAACGATCAAACTCACTGATTCAAAACAAGACTCCAGTGAGTACAAAGCCAAAGAGCCATTAAATTAAATTCAGGTGATAAGCAAGAGTGTGGCAGATAAAAAGTTTATGCTATGAAAATTAGTTGCAAGGAAATGCATTTGAGCACAATTATGTTCAGGAAACGCATAGTATAAAAACACTGTAAAGCAAAAGAATTGTTATTCTGTGATTTGTCATATAAACAATAGTACTTGTTTGTGCAGTAGATGTGGGGGCAAATCAGCCCTTTATCTTAACAGCAGAGCATAAGGCTCCATGGCTGAACAGGTCAAGGCTGAATTTTGCCTTTCATCTCTGGAGAGATTACACAGCCCAAGCTGTGACAACAATTTGAAGACGTGAGACCTCTATTGCCTTTGCTGGGTGCTGTAGGCATGGAATCTGTTTCAGCAGAAGAAAGGTGAAGAACTTAATATTTAAATGCTTGGCTTTATCATTAAACAATCAGCCAACACTTCACCTTGATTTTGGAGAGGCAGTGCCAGTTTCCGTGGAAACCGAAATGCCATCCTGCAGCTGTCACAAAATTGTTCAAATCCTGCAGATCTCAGCTTTGACAGCACACTGTACACTACAAGTGTGGATTTTTAAATTGCAGTCACTAAAATGGTGAATGCAGAAGTTCCAGAAACTTCTTTCAGAGCTTGGTTTACTTGTTGCCAGTATGTGTAATTCCCACAGCAGTGTCCATAGAGAGAGGAGTCACAGCAGATCATAGAATCATAGAATGGTTTGGGCTGGAAAGGGCCTTAAAGATCACCTTGCTCCAACCCCTCTGCTATGGACAGGGACACCTACCACTAGCCCAGCTTGCTCAGGGCTGCATCCAGCCTGGCCTGGAACACTTCCAGGGATGAAGCAGCCACAGCTTCTCTGGGCAACCTGTGCCAGTGCCTCACCACCCTCACAGGGCAGATTTTCTTCCAATATCTGATCTAATACTATTCTCTTTCAGCTGGAAGCCATTCCCCCTTGTCCTGTCACTCCAGGCCCTTGTAAATGGTCTCTCTCCACCTTTTCTGCAGTCTCCTTCAGGCACTGTAAGGCTGCCATGAGGTTACCCTAAAGCCTTCTGTTCTCCAAGCTGAACAACCCCAATTCTCTCAGCCTTTCCTCATGGCAGAGGTGCTCCATCCCTCTAATCATAACCTTGGTGGCCTCCCCTGGACTCACTCCAACAGGTCCATGTCCTTCCAGTGCTGGAGACCCCAGAGCTGGAGGGAGCACTGCAGGTGAGATCTCACCAGAGCAGAGCAGAATCACCTCCCTTGATCTGAGAGTTTTACAAAACACCATAGTTGTACCACCACTGCCACAACTGCAGGAGCAAATTATACTAGAGCACTGGGGAAAGGCTACTCCAGACAAATCATTTTCTAACAACACATTTCCTCACAGCAGTCCTGGGAAGGCAGGGAAGCGATACTATCACCCTTTGCAGGAGGCAAAAGGGAGTCATATAAAAGGGAGTCATATAGAGATACAGAGCTTGCTCGCGCTGTAAATACCTGCATAAAATTCTAGATGTAAAAGATGATAACATGTGCCTAAGCCTGGTCCTTTCCGCAGCTCGCGGAGCGAGGCAGGCTCTAATCCAGGTTGGGTTTCGCAGCATCGCTCGGACGGACACCAGGTCTACCCGGCAGGGGGCGAGCGCCGCGCGGGGATGGCACAGACTGGCACAAACTGGCACAAACTGGCGCAAAACTTGTCCCAGGCCTGGCACAATCCTGGCACACCTCGTTGGGGCTGAAGGCACAGCCACACGCGATCGAACACGTGTGTTAATCGCGATACACGCCCCGCAGCGCTGGGAGCCACCCCAGGCAGCAGTGAGATGTGATTCAGAGTCCTCACGGCACTGAAATGCCACCCCCGTGTCCCTCGCTGGACACACCGAGCACCTTGTGCAGGCAGAAACGCTGCTGGGAGAGAACTTTCTGTGCGTTTATCAGTGCGCTTGGCACGACAGCGCCCTGTTCTGCAGTGCCACACCTGCAGCGAGCACCTGGCTACTGCAAAAAGCACTTCTTAGCCCACTATCAGATTTTTTTTTTCCACATGCAACGAATCCAGAGCATTTCCATAGGTCCCAGGGACAAAAGCACTCGTTTATGACAGGCAGCACGGAGTGTTCCCTGCCACTCCAGGTGAATGCCCCATGCAGGAACTCTGCAGCCACACGGGCAGATAGAGCTGTGGCTCTCAACTGAATCCCAGGAACACAGGACAGATCCTGGCAGGCTCTATATTTGCATGTTAACATGTTTTATTGTATTTAATGAGACCATTAAAGTATTTCTGTTACTATCAGCAAGATAGACACTGTGGGATTAGAAACCAGTGGGAATAGCCTCATTCCTGTGAACAAAAGCAGCATCACTGTCCATGAAGGAACTCTCCTTCATGGACATGAAAGAACTGTGAATCATAGAATCATGTTGGAAATTACCTTTAAGGTCATCAAGTCCAACTGTTCCTCTAGCACTGCCAAGGCCACCACTAAACCATGTCCCCAAGTGGGATTAGAAACCAGTGGGAATAGCCTCATTCCTGTGAACAAAAGCAGCATCACTGTCCATGCAGGAGAATAACTGTGAATCATAGAATCATTTATGTTGGAAATTACCTTTAAGATCGAGTCCAACTGTTCCTCTAGCACTGCCAAGGCCACCACTAAACCATGTCCCCAAGTGCCACATCTACATATCTTTTAAATCCTTCCAGGGATTTTCCCAGAAAGCCATCCAAACTCTGGGCTGCATCAAAAGGAGTGTGGGCAGGGGATTGGAACTAGATGATCTGTGAGATCCATTCCAACCCCTAAAATTCTATGATTCTATGGTGATTCCACCACTGCCCAGGGCAGTCT